GGCCATGGAGCGATTGGTTTCACAGGGGTGCACACGGTTTCGTGTTGCTGGAACAAGCATGGGGCAGCACAACTCTGCATGTACACGGTTCTTGGCACTGCAGAAATGTGCTAGGACAAAATTACCACACCGCGGAGAAAGTTACAACTGTAACACAGAGGCCAGGCTTGGAGCACATAGTCTTAAGAACTCCAAGACCTTTTAGCGTGAGGCAGAAGTCTTTCTAAAAGCTTTCAGATAATGGCAACTCCTCCTCTGTAAATAAGGTAGCTTAAAAGCAAACAAAGAAACAAAAAAACCCAAAAACAAATAAGCAGAAAAAGCAATGCAGTTGTCCTACCTCTGAACTTGATTTCTTTTCACCTCATCCACTTATCCAGAGCACAGGAAACATTAACTCTTATGCACATGTGCATTAGGAATATTTGCACCGACCAGGCCACCTCCTTTGATGTGCATTTCCATCTCCCCTTGTTTCTTCTGCTGCCTAAAGCCTACTGCTGTGAACAGAAACACTCTTGACATATTATTCACAAAAGCCAATATAAACACCTCACGGAATACYAGCAATTCAAAATGCTCCTTTTCCTCCTGCTCACTTTGTCTTTCCCTATAYTATSAGCTATGTGGCCATAATCTGYCCTCCTGAGTCACTGTTCCAAGTAYTGTGGTCCCTTCTGAAGAAATTTGATAGCTTGGTGGGAGAGCCTTTTGGGCTTGGTGAGCCCACTTCATTCACACTGCTGCCATATCAAATGTATATGTTTTGTACAATCTCTTGTGTGGAAGGAAGGGAAAAAAAAAAAAAAAAAAAAAAAAAAGCAAAGCAAAGTTTCTCTAACTGCACTCCAAAATGGCAGTTTATCAACTCAGACAGCAAAAGTGAACACAAGTGACAAACTCCATGAACCAAAACAAAAATCAGGTAACTGGCCTACGTCTATGGATCTAAACTCAGCTCGGTGAATTGAAAAGTGCAACTTGCTCCAGAAAATTGGCTGTTCAATTTGCTAAACAGATTATTGGTCACACAGATTCCACAGGACTACACTGAAAAGGAGTCCTCAACACACGTAAATAAATGACACAGGAAGGGGTTCTAGTGCACACTTACATTTGGGATTTTCTCCCCTCTTACAGCCCTCTACTGTTACATCACTTCTTCAGCCCTAGGTTYCCCCTTGCTGCCAACTGGGTCGCCAAACTGGGAAAAGGAGCAGTCAGGCAGAACTCCAATGCCTGCAGACCAACTGTGTGGGAAGGCAAGGCACTGCACTCTGCTTCTTGGGAATGGAGCAGGGACACACAGCAATTGGCAGGGGCACACAGCCACCAGCCAGAACCATCTCCTCAGTCACTCAGCCAGCTGAGCAGCCAGCATGGCATTCCCATCCGGAGGCAGGTACTCTCCACCTTCAGGCACAAACAGCAGAACATGCTCCCAAGGGCATCAAAGAAATCACCACAGTTTGGACACTTATTACATTTTCCAGGAAAATCTTTTCACCCAGCCAAGATGAACTAAATTATGTGTATGAGACAACTTCTATAAATAAGTGAACTTTGTTCTTTTGTAAGGAAGCTTTGAATTTTATGTTGCTGTTTTTACTCAAAGTACATTTACAAACACCAGGATCAACTACCTCATCCCACTAGGATACTTTATCTTTGTTAAAATCCCTGACTCTTGAAATCAACCKGATGTTTTGGGCAGAGCAACTTTTTAGATTACCTGYATATAAACARACATAGAAAATGCTTGYATAAATGTTCCTCTTCAAAAGCWAAAGGTTTTAACTAATTATTTTAATCTCAGTATTTTCTCTAAMAATTTTTAAAAARTGTTTGTGATAAWKTWTYTYMA